ATAATACAATGTTATTAACAATAAAAAAGGATTTATTTATTTTTATTACAGAGTCAGAAATACAGAAAGGAGAAGAGGCAGAGAGGAACATCTTCTGTCCGATCATTCACTCCCCAAGTTAGTGTAACGGCGGAAGCTGGGAACCAGGAACCTCTTCCGGGTCTCCCACATGGGTACAGGGTCCCAAAGCATTGGGCCGTCCTGACTGCTTTCCCAGGCCACAAGCAGGGAGCTGGATGGGAAGTGAAGCTGCCAGGATTAGAACTGGCACCTATATGGGATCCTGGTGTGTTCAAGGCAGGACTTTAGCCGCCAGGTCACACCCCTGGGCCCATTCATTGGGAATCTTTAGGATTGATTCACATCCCAGAAGTACAGTGGGTTCAACCTGGAGCTGCATAAGCAGCGATTCAAAGAACCAAACCCCAGAGCTCCTGCCAGGCGGCCAGCAGGCAGAACCTGGCGTCAAATGGCTGCACTGGCTGCCCGTTGACAGCTCACCATGTGTACGTGGTGGCTGGAGTCAGGGATCCCAGCATAGAGAAGCCCTGGCCTGAGGCCCACCAGCAGCAAGGAGGCTGCAGGAAGTTTAAACTGCCAGGCCCAAGGTCGTGCCCCTCCCCAATCCCATCCACTGCTCAGTGATGATGGCGGGTGGGCCCTGGCCCTGCCCAGTCATGGAAACCTCCCCCCCTTGGTTTACTCACCCTGAAGGGAGCAACCTGCGAGCCCAGGGACAGCTTACCACATGCACGCGGTTGCTGGAGCCACAGATCCCAGCATGAAGATGCCCTGTCCTGAGACCCCCAGAAATCAAATCCTATAGATTGTTGGTAAAGATTATTTTCCTTCAATTAAACTTCTTGTTGCCATTCCCTCTATTGCTTAGGACCAAGTCAAAACATATCTTCCCTGCCCTTTGACCGTAATATTCCATCTCTGCTCTTTCTCCTTGGTTTCTCTTTCTGTGAGCTGCAGACTATCCACCATTCCAGATTCAGCTTCTTCAAAAAGGCAATCTTCTGCTTTAATACTTCCATCGCCTCAGTGTTAGCTGTTAGGGATTCCATGAAAAAAAAAAACTGCCACAATTAAACACTAAATATTTATTTCTTCACAGTGTTGCAAGTGTCAAGCCCTGTTTATAACGATGTTAATATCAGTTATGGCCCAGACTCATCACCTCATTAATGTCAGTTACTTCTACATAGCGACTGTTTCCACATGCTCTCATCTTCTTTGGTATCGGAAATTAGAGGCTTCTACATGTGAAGTGTGAGGGCTGAAGTAGAAGGGGATTCAAAGCAGGGAGGTCATAGTTCTTAGTAACTGGTGGCTACCCAGTGGTAATGGGTTGGTTTAGAACGTTTGTATTTAGGATATATTTTGAATGTAGTAGAGCTAATGGGATTTCCCTTAGTTTGATGGTTTGAGGATGTGAACCATTCATGAAGGGAGCCGAGGGGAATAGGATATGGCTTCTGGTCAAGAAGCTTGCTTTGATTATATTCAGTAGCCTATTTCAGTTCCTTTTTGCTTTCACTGGTGGAGTGGCAGCAGCCAAAATGAAGTTCAATGCCTTTGTGACTTCAAACTGAAGCAAGAACGGAAAAACTCATTTCAATGTCATTTCCACAGCTGTAGGAAGATTATGCCTATGTGTCTTTGCAAAAAGCTGAGACAGAAGCACAACATGCAATCCATGCCTACCAAAGGGGTGACGAAGTACAAGCTGTGCGTGGACACATCACAGGCCAGCCAGTTGGCAATCCAGGTTTATAGGAAGAAATACATCACCAGCAGTGAACAGATACACAGAGAGAAGGCCAATGGCCAAAGGCCAATGGTGGCTACCCATGTGAGCAGTCATGCAACAAGGTGGCTACCAGTAGGCTACAACTGGATGAAGACCAGGAACACATTCTTTTTTTAAAATTTTTTTCTTTTCAAAGGATTTTATTTATTTTTTATAGCCCAATTGCAGAGAGAGAAAGAGGGAGAGAGATAGAGAGAAAAGACTGAGAGAGCTTCTATCTGCTGGTTCAATCTTCTATTGTCTACAAGGGCTGCCTGACCAAAATCAGGAAGCAGGAACTGCTCCTGGGTCTCCCCAGGTGGATGCAGAGGCCCAAGTGCTTGAGCCAGCTTCCTCTGCTTTTCCAAGTGCCTTAACAGAAAGCTTGATTGGAAGTGGAGCAGTTGGGACTCAAAACCTTGTCTATATGGGATGCTGGACTACAAGTGGAAGCTTAAGCTACCTTGCCATGGTGTTCCCCTGAACTGGGAATTTTCATCCAAAGAGGGAGGGGGCAGCGGTCTTAATATTGTGAGGGACCAGGAGGAATGTCACATGGTCCATCCTTTAGCTCCTTTCCTGTAAGATGTGGTGGAAAACCATGCACTTCCGAAGAGGAGTACAGCTACAATTTTGCTTTTTCTAAAATGAAACATGTTGAACTTCTAAACAATGTTTCTTCTATCAATAGTTCATGGATTTTTTGTATTGCAGAGTATTTCTGTATTGCCTTTATTATTTGTTCATTATTCAATTGGAGGAGATTTGGTTTGTTTCCTTTTTGTTGATTGTAAATAAAGCCTCTATGAACATTTGTATAGAAGTTTTCAAAATTCAATTTAAAGACTGAGAGACAGAGACACCCCACTCATTGGTGCATTCCCCAGACCCCCACATCGGTCAGCTAGTGCTGGGCCAGGCTGGAGTGGCAACCGGAAACTCAGTGCAGGCCTCTCTTGTGGCTATCAGAAACCCATCATGGAAATTATAATTGCTGCCCCGAATCTATTAGCAGAAGCTGGTGTCGGGAGTCAAAGCATGATATGGAAGATGTGGCATATTCATATTAATTAAAAAAAAAACTTATTTGTTCACTGTCCAGCAGCGATTGATTTGGTGCACGAAGCCTATAATAACATTCGTGGCGTGGACCTCCGTGATGGTCACATAGCCAGAAGCTTATTGCCAGGATCAGACTTGTAAAAGACAGGCCGGCATGGTGTCCTAGTGGCTAACGTCCTTGCCTTGCATGTGCCAGGATCCCATATGGGCCCCGCTTGGGAAGTGAATTGTCAGATGGAAGACCTCTCTGTCACTCCTTGAAGGGTGTCAAGTAGACATCGGGGGAGGGGGCTCCGATCCCTTTACATTTCAACAGCCAGAGACAGATCCCAAATGCATAATCAGCAAGTCCTTTATCTCACCCTGTGGACCAGGAAGTTTCCTGTCCATTCATCTCCATATCAACATCTCCCAGGCCTTCCAGAAGAGCTTCAATTAGCTTTTTGGCAAAAGATTCAACATGTCTTCCCACATATTTGAAAGGGAGAGTTATGGAGAAGGTGAGAGAGAGAGGCCTCCCATCTGCTGGTTCACTGTCCAAGTGGCTGCAGTGGCCAGAGCTTGGGGCAGCTGAAAGTAGCTGGGAACTTCATCCAGGTCTCCCACCTGAATGCAGGGGTATGGGCATTCAGCTCAACCTTTGCTGCTTCCCTAGATGCACTCAAAGGGAACTGGACAGGAAGCAGAGCAGGTGGGACTTGAACTGTTGGCCACAGGAGAAGTTGGTTTTGCTGGGGGTGCCCGGACCTGCTGAGCCACAATGCAGTGGGTAGACGTGGGCATCTCACCCATATGGATATTTTTCCTGAGTGTGCTGTTTCACTCAGATTTAGAATGGGGTTACTGTTGTCAAGCATGGAAAGGTTCAGCTGTATGAGAAACTGCAACGTTTTGCAATGTCATCATGAGTTCTTTGTCATATGTAGAAAATTCACAGCATGCCAGGACACGAATGGGACACGGTGGAATGGTTGAGATGAACACTGGCCTGCAAATCGCAAATGTTTACTTCTTGTGTCTTCATAGAAAATGTTTGGTGATCTTTGCTGTAAGTTTTTGGCGAATGGAAGTTCATGATCTGGTCGTATTAATTTTATAAGCAATTTTGCTCTCTCTCAAGTCAATAATCATCAGCACAATTCTTTTTTTTTTAATTTTTATTTAAATTTTTTTTTTAATTTTGACAATCCTTATATATTTAATTAGGGTAAAAAAGGTTCAAGGGCTATAGGGAAGTGGGCAAGACCATCACTTCCATACCGCTTCCTTCATGTATCTGAGGTAAAGGGGGATATAGAGGAAGAAGCCCCACCCAGTTTCCCACTCACCCTAAGTCCCGGGTGTGGGGCATGCTCTGAGATACTCAATCAAGTGGTTCCAATAGTTCACCATTCCAGCACAATTCTTTTATAGAATTGGATAACCTAGGACCCAGCCCTGAGTCCATCCTAAGCCAGTAGTCAGGAATTGCCTCTGGGTCTCCCATATGGGTGCCCTAGGCTAACGTCCTTGCCTTGCATGCACAGGGTTCCCATATGGGTGCTGTTTCATGTCCCAGCTGCTCCACTTCCCATCTCCCTGCGTGTGGCCTGGGAAAGCAGTGGAGGATGGCCCAAAGCCTTAGGACCCTGCGCCCACATGGGAGACCTGGAAGAGGCTCCTGGCTTCGGATCAGCTCAACTCTTGCCGTTGCAGCCACTCTGGGAGTGTGCAAGTGGATGGCAGATGTTTTTTTCCCTTCTCTCTGTAAATCTGCCTTTCCAATAAAAATAAAGAATTTTTTTAAAAAGCTGGATTACTCAGCAGCTGCATTAAAAAACCCTGCTGTTGATACAGGAAAGGCTTTTACATTAACTGGGAAATACGCTATTGAATAGCACATATTAAATACAAAAATGCTCACGTTTTGCCGTAGTCTGTGATCATTGGTGTTGATGCTTAAGGGCCTAGACGTGATCCTGAAGTCTTGGCACGCCGCGCTGCCTTCGGCATACGCCCCGCCCCGGAAGTGCGTCGGGAAGCCGGGAGCGAGGCTGCAGGGCGCCGCGCCGAGGCCTGGCGACGCGCAGCCCGTGCGCACGCGCACACGGCGCCCCGGCGCGGCCCGGGAGGAGGGGCGGGGCCCGGGCCGGCGTCTCGCCTTCCAACTGCAGCTGGCGGCGGCGCCATTTTGAACGTGCGGCTCCCGCGGGCGTGAGTCACCGGAGGTCGTCTCGGTCCTCTCCTCGCTCGCGTGCCCAGCTCTATGTAGAGTCGTCCACGCCCCGAGAGCGAGGCCCGCCACCGGTATCTGAGGCGAACGCGTTGAGATGATGCTAAGGGGCAACCTGAAGCAAGTGCGCATTGAGAAAAACCCTGCCCGCCTTCGCGCCCTCGAGTCGGCGGCGGGAGAGACGGAGCTCGCGCCGGCCATGGCGCTGACGCTGGCCGGGGAGTCGGCGCCGGCCTCCGCCGCGGCCGCCGACGACCACCCCGAGGAGGAGGTGGGCTTCACCATCGACATCAAGAGCTTCCTCAAGCCGGGCGAGAAGACGTACACGCAGCGCTGTCGCCTGTTCGTGGGCAACCTGCCCACCGACATCACGGAGGAGGACTTCAAGCGTCTGTTCGAGCGCTATGGCGAGCCCAGCGAGGTCTTCATCAACCGCGACCGCGGCTTCGGTTTCATCCGCCTGGTAAGGCTGGCGGGCGGCCGAACAAAGGGGCGGCCGACGGCTCGGACCCCATCTTGGGTCTGGCCGCATGTTCCCCCGTGGGCGTGGGGGGCCAGCGTCCCGATCGGCTCCCTGCAAGGCTTTCCTGGGTCGGGAACCCCATTCTCTGCCCTTCCCGGCCCGGCCCCGCGGGGGTCCCTCTGCAGGCAGAGCTCGCCCCTGCTTCTCCGGGTCGAGGGAAGATGGTCTCCTGCCACCGGGGGCTTTGTGCCTCCTGCCCGCTGCTCGTCCACGCGGGGAGCGGACGCCGTGCCCCGTGGTTTTTGCAGTGTGTGAGCCTTGAGGAGGGGGTTCACACTCAGCAGCCAAGGCCAGCTCTGTTGGGGTTCCTCGGCGCGAATTCATCATTGTCGTCAACGCTGCAGGGGCATCCTTCCCCAGCCGTCCTCTCTCGCTCAGAGCGGGCCTGTTCTCTGTGGTTTTGGTGGTCGTTGCGCACAGGCAGCTTTTCTTACCGTCCCTTGAACTTTCTTTTTTTTTTTTTTTAAAGATTTATTTTTATTATTTTTTCATTGGAAAGGCGGATATACAGAGAGGAGAGACAGAGAGGAAGATCTTCCGTCCGATGATTCACTCCCCAAGTGAGCCGCAACGGGCCGATGCTATGCCGATCCGAAGCCAGGAGCCTCTTCCGGGTCTCCCACACGGGTGCAGGTTCCCAAAGCCTTGGGCCGTCCTCCACTGCTTTCCCGGGCCACAGGCAGGGAGCTGGAAGGGAAGCAGGGCTGCCGGGATTAGAACCAGCGCCTATATGGGATCCCGGGCGTGCAAGGGGAGGACCTTTAACACTTGCGCCACCGCGCCGGGCTTTCAAAATCGAATTTGGGCTGTGTGTGGACAGCGCCAAGTCTTTCATAGGAGAGACGGTTGTGATTTTGTTTTTGTTTTTTTTTTTTAACAGACCCACCTCTGAACGTCCAACTGGGGTTAGTGAAACATAAGGACTTCTCCTTAAAATTCAAGTGAAATAATCACTGCACTTTGAAGACGTAATTACAGATAATGTACTTAGTACAGCTTGTAGAACTAGAGAAAACTTGTGTACATGCAAAAATTATCTTAAGGAAATTAGGTTTTTCACAGTGAAGGAACTTTGGGTAAACTTGCCAAAAGGATGTTATGTAACATGCCCATCATGCTTGGCCCCTGGCACCATCTTACTCCGTGCTGAAATGGGTATTTCTGCAGGCACAAGAATGAAGGGGCCGTACGGACCTCTTTAAAAAGCCTTTTGCTTGAAAACAAACCGGAGAACAAACCCATTGAGGAGAGGAAGGCTTTTCCTTATCTTTCAGGCTGCTGCGGTGACACTTGCCTTGGTTGGCACACCCCGGGTGTCCTGTGGAGCTTGCTGTCAAGATGGAATGGTTTTTCCTTTGTAAACATGGCTGGATGAAGTTGTGTGATGTGTTATGTATCCATTCTTTAAATAGGCATGTGACAGAGACCACTGGTAGTGTTGGATAGCACGGCTCAATTGTGGTTAAAAAAAAAAAAACAAACCGGTGACACTAGCAAATGAGAGATGAGAAAGGCCGCCCCCCTGTCTTGTGCTCCCCCCCATTCGCACTCCAAATGCTCTGTGTAGCAATGTTACAAGTTTGTTACAAAATTTGACTATCTGGGGGAATATTGCAGTTTGATTTCAGCTCTGAACCAGGTCAATTTTAAAATGCATCAAATATTTTTTTACTTAGACAACTCGATACATACTTGATCTAAATATAAATATTGGTATAGTGGCTTCAGTGACTGGATGTATTATGCTTGCTTTAAAATATCAGTGTAATTTTATCTGATTTACATTTTTGGAAAGAACTTTGGATAAGCTTTTAAATGCAGTACATTTTCTTAATAGTTGTGGGTTTTCTGCTTAATTCATGGGGTGAAATAAATTGATACTGTGTGGAGTCAGTAATAGTTATGTATTGGTTGGGAAAAGATACTAAGTGGCTGTTCATGTAAGATCCTAATGGGAGGTGGTACAGTGGCTCAGGAGGCTAGTCCTTCACCAGTGGGTGTCAGGCCACCAGTTCTAGTGCCCGTTGCTCCACTTTCAGCACGGCTCTCTGCTTGTGGCCTGGGAGGAACAGTGGGGGATGACCCACTTCCTTGGGACACTGCACCCACATGGGCAATCTGGGGGACCCTATTGGCTCCTGACTTCAGGTCAGCTTAGCTCCAGCTGTTGCAGCTACTTGGCGAGTGGACCAGTGGATGAAAGATCTTTCTCTGTGTTTCTCCTTCTCTCTGTAAATCTGCCTTTCAATAAAAATAAACTGTTTATTTTTAAAGATTTATTTGTTTTTATTGGAAAGGCAGATATAGAGAGAGAAGGAGAGACAGAGAGAAAGATCTTCTGTCCACTGGTTCACTCGTCAAGTGACCATAACAGCCAGAGCTGAGCTGATTTGAAGCCAGGAGCTTCTTCCAGGTCTCCCAAGCAGGTGCAGGGTCCCAAGGCTTTGGGCCGTGCTTTATTGGGACACAGGTAGGGATGGGAAGTGGAACAGCTGGGAGAGAAACTGAGCTGGTGCCTTCATGGGATCCTGGCACCTGCAGGGTGAGGATTTGGCCACTGAGACAGGACTGAGACTTTTTTTTTAAGATCACAGTTCATATTGTGAACTTCTGTTAAATTAAGGATAAAGTAGCCTGCGTGTGCATTTTCAACACATTTTACTATGGACTTTAGATTAAAGTTAAACTAACTGAAAAGTTGTACTTTTCTTTTAGAGATCTATTTCTTTTATTTGAAAGGCGGATTGCGGAGAGCAGGACAGACAGGATCCTCCTCTCACTTGGTCACCCTCCATTGACCTCAGTGACTGCAGCTGAGTCCATCCCAAGCCAGGAGTCAGGAACTTCCCCTGGGTCTCCCATGTGGGTGCCAAGGCCCTGAGCCGTCCTCCAGTGCTTTCCAAGGCCACGGGCAGGGAGCTGGATCAGAAGTGGAGCAGTCAAGACTGGAGGCGCCCATATGGGAAGCGGTTGAATACATTTTAAAATTAGTTCAATATAGTTAAACCGGTCTCAGTTTGTGTTGAATTATTTTCTGCTTTTGGTTTACTAAACTGTGTATCTGTAAGGGTAATTCACAAAGAGGTGGTCCATGTCCAGCCGTTTCAGATCTCTTAGTCTGTGTAGGCCGCTGAAATTGTGGACCCTGGGTCTCTAACATCTTCTCATTTAATCTGTTCACTGAGAATCTACAAGTGGCCTGGGAAAGCAGCGGAGCCTGACCCCAGTCCTTGGACCCCTGAACCCCAGTGGAGACTTGAAAGAAGCCCCAGGCTCCTGGTGTGAGATTGTTTTCAGTTGCAGCTATTGTGGCCATTTGGGGAAAGAAGCAGCATGTTGATTTCCTTTTGTTATTTTTACATATTTTTGTCTTTGTGAGAAGCAGAGACGGAAGTGTTCTGCTTGCCTCTGCACTCCCAAGGTGCCTGCAACAGCAGCTTGGGTCTGGCAAACCAACCCAGAGCCTAGGACTCTGTTGAGGTATGCTGTGGCCCATGGGGAGCCAAGCCTCTGTGCCACCAGGGGCTGCCTTCCTGATGCATTATCAGGAAGCTGGAGTGGAAGCAGAGTGACCTAGAACTGGTGTGAGTTTGGAAATCAGAGTTACGGAGAGAGAAGGGGAGAGACAGCAGGCTGCATATGGGATCCCGGTGTGTGCAAGGCAAGGACCTTAACTGACACGCTATCATGCTGGGCCCAAAATTTAATATATCTTTAACATTTTTTCATGTCATTAGATTCTCTTGTTAACATGGAACATTTCACAATATGGATATATTGATAGTTATTTAATACATTTTTATTAATTGACTTGAAGCTTAATTACGGTTGTAGCAACAGATTTTATTTGAATTCTTTTTCATTCTGTGGTTCTTTAGGCTCATGATTTTCCCTTCCACTCTGTCTTGTCCCCTCCTTCCCAGTGGATTTCGTTGTATTCATTAACTTAGCAGCTTTGTAGTGGGCAATTTTAATTAGCTGGATAATAAAACATTTTCGGGGTTTTTTGTAAGATTTATTTTATTTTTATTACAAAGTCAGATATATAGAGAGAGGAGGAGAGACAGAAAGGAAGTTCTTCCATCCAACGATTCTCTCCCCTAGTGTCCGCAATGGCTGGTGTTGCACCATTCCGAAGCCATGAGCCAGGAGCTTCCTCTGGGTATCCCACACGGTTGCAGTGTCCCAAGGCTTTGAGCTGTCCCCAACTGCTTTCCCAGGCCACATGCAGAGAGGTGGATGGGAAGTTGAGCTTCCACGATTAGAACTGGCGCCCATATGGGATGACGGCGCATTCAAGGTGAGGACTTGGGCTGCTAGGCCACTGTGCCAGGTCCAAATGCATGCATCATTTGTTTAGTTCAAACTCTTGTGATTTATAGAGCGTTGTCATCTAACTATACCTCATCTATTTCAAGTTTTACTTGACAGTGTTTTTTCAGATTTGAGTAAGAGAGAGAAGTCATAAGCGAACACATGCTTTCGGCCATTAGTTCACCCCTTAGTTACCCAAAACAGCTGCAGGTGGGACCTCAGCCGCTGCCTCCCCAGCGTCCACATGAGTGGGAGGTTTAATCAGGAGCTGGAGCTGGGGACCGGGTGTGGAGCTATAGACATTTGAAGCATGAGACCAAATACCCACCCTGTACTAAGAACTTTTTTTGTTTCATTTTTAAAAATTTATTTTTTTTTTGGGCCCAGCACCATGGCGCAGTGGTTAAGGTCCTCGCCTTGCACGCCCGGGATCCCATATGGGCGCCGGTTCTAATCCCGGCAGCCCCACTTCCCTTCCAGCTCCCTGCCTGTGGCCCGGGAAAGCAGTCGAGGATAGCCCAAAGCCTTGGGACCCTGCACCCACATGGGAGACCTGGAAGAGGTTCCTGGCTCCTGGCTTTGGATGGACTCAGCTCCAGCCGTTGCAGCCGCTTGGAGAGTGAACCATCGGACGGAAGATCTTCCTCTCCGTTTCTCCTCCTCTCTGTATATCTGACTTTGTAATAAAAATAAATACATCTTTAAAAAAATGATATGAAAGAAAAAGGGGAAGTCTAGATTCATTAAAAAAAAAAAAAACAAGAAAACCAGGAGCCTCCTCTGGCTCTCCCACATGGTGCCAGGCCAAGGGCAGAGCTGGAAGCTGAGCAGCCATGGCTAGAATAGTATGGGATTCTGGAGGCAGAGGATCGGCCTGTTGAGTCCCTGCGCTGGCTCCCCAGAGTCTTAGGAGTCCCAGCCGGAAATCTTCCTTGCAGGGTTGTTGCATTGTATGATGTATTGCCTAGGAAAGTGCTCTTCTTTATAGGTGTTTAAATAGTATGCTGTGCTACTACTCGGAGTTAAGGGTAATAAAGGCACGATTTTGAATATATCTGGAAGTGTTAACTTATTTTATCTTTGCAAAATATAGTGGTATAGATGAATATTCACAAGGTGTCCTGAGCACTTTAGGGATTGTGTAAGGAACTTCTTGACCTCGAACCATTTTTCTTAAGGTAGTATACTTGTGGTTAACCAACATGTGCCTCTGAAGCTTCTCTCCTCCCTGGAGAGTGCCCACAACGCAGTGGGAAAGTATGTGACTATTAAGTTTATGTGTTGTTGTCATTTACATGCTGGTAGTAGATATCAAGTTTGAATTCCAGTGGGGGGAAGTTACCTGTGATCTCGGCATTGGATGTATTTTCTAGTTGCAGATGTCCGTGTGCTTTGTTTATTCTGTTGCAAGTCAGAGGTAGAGAGGACGGAGGTCTGCTGTTGGCCGTAGGCTGGGAAGTGCAGCGGCTGGGATCTGAATCCCTGTGGCTGTATGGGACGACTGGGCTGCAGGTGGAGACTTGGCCGTGTGCTCAACTTCCATCAGTATCAGGGAGAGGCATCCATGTTGTGGCACAGTGGCTTAACCCATTCTTTACAGTGTGGCATCCTGTGTGAGTGTGATGATTCCAGTCTTAGCTGCTCCCATCTGCTCTAGCTTTCTGCTGTGCCTGGGAGGGAAGTGGGAGTAGATCAAGCACTTGGGCCTAGCCACCACTGTGGGATTCCCACACGGGAGCCTGACCCAGACCTGGCTTTGTGTGGCGATATAGGTGGTAAAACGAGTTTGGAATATTCACCCCACCTGCATCTCTCTTTCTGCCCTTCAAACAAATAAATAAACAGATAAATCTTTTTTTTTTTTAAGATTTATTTTATTTTGATTACAAAGTCAGATGTACATAGAGGAGGAGAGACAGAGAGGAAGGTCTTCCTTCCACTGATTCATTCCCCAAGTGAGTGCAACGGCCGGTGCTGTGCGGATCTGGAGCCAGGACCCAGGAACCCCTTCCAGGTCTCCCACGCAGGTGCAGGGTCCCGAGGCTTTGGGCTGTCCTCAACTGCTTTCCCAGGCCACAACTCCTTTCCCAGGGAGCTGGATGGGAAGTGGAGCAGTTGGGACATGAACTGGCACATTCAAGGCACATCCCGGCACATTCAAGGAGAGATTTAGCTGCTAGGCTGCCACCCCTGGGGTGGGACCTGGGGTGGGACTTTTAATAAAAAGATGTTGTGACAGACCATTAGTCATTTCCTAAAGTCACTTAGCTCTCAGTAGAAGCAAACGACTATTTTATATTTTTGTGCTGCTGTCATATTTACAAAATGTTTTTTCCTCCTGAAAAGGAATCCAGAACACTGGCTGAGATTGCCAAAGCAGAGCTGGACGGCACCATTTTGAAGAGCCGGCCTCTCCGAATTCGGTTTGCTACACACGGAGCAGCCCTGACTGTCAAGAATCTTTCTCCGGTTGTTTCCAACGAGCTTCTCGAACAAGCGTTTTCCCAGTTTGGTCCAGTTGAGAAAGCTGTTGTGGTCGTGGACGACCGTGGAAGAGCTACTGGAAAAGGTTTTGTAGAATTCGCTGCAAAACCGCCTGCGCGGAAGGCTTTGGAGAGATGTGGAGACGGGGCGTTCCTGCTGACCACGTAAGTGTTAAGCTCTGGGCCTCCCCTGCCTGGCCACACACGCACTTGCCTCTGCTGTAGAATTCTACCTTTCCTTGCACTTCATACTGTTTTGGCGTATGGTAACTATGTATCGAGTGACTATTCAATATAAATAAGGAATTTTTGTGTAATGCTAGAGTCAGCTTTCTTCAAATATTCATAATTAAAATTTCAGCAATGTTTTATGATTTTCACTTAAGGGACATTGATAAATCTTGTTATTTAAAAATGCACTAAAATTTTGTTTTCTTTGTGGCAGAGAGGGACATAGAGCAGCCAGGACACACACTCGCACCGTGTGCGAAGCCTGTGCTGCAGGGTAGAGGGCATTAGTCACTTGAGCCAGAACAGAAATTTTCATCAGCTTTATTTATTTAAACATCTTGTGTGTATAAATTTCCATGTACCTTAATAAATGTCCTACTGTGCACTAGTCAGGAACACTTCTGTCATCCACTTACTCAAATATTTGATTATATTTAATTTTCCTTATCTGAGATAGCTAGTGATCTGTATACTACTGTAGATTACCTTTTGTTAACTAGTATTAAAGAAAGTATTTGTTGTTTTGTGTCTGGTTTATACATTTTTATTTTTCTAGATTCACTTACTTGAAAGGCAGGGTTGGGTAAAGGGAGGGTATACCTTCCTCTGAACAGGTTCAGTCCAGGTCTTCCACATGGCGGCAGCAGCCAAGGACGTGGGCTGCATCCTTTGCTTTTGGGTGCATTCATTAGCGGGAAGCTGGCCAGAGGGTTGGAGTAGCCAGCTAGGATTCAAAGCTAGGCTTAACCCACTGTGCTGCAATACTGCTGGCTGTGTGATTTGTTTTGCGTAACATAGTATTTTTGAATGGTATCATTCAAAGATTGGTATCATTCTGAGAACCGTATTTTGTTTTTGTGGCTGAGTCTGATTCCATTGTGTAGACATAATAGTTTGCCCAATGGTTTATATATGTAAATACTATTTTAGTTATTTTCAACTATTGGCTGTTGTGACTAAAGCTATTTGAACATTTGTAGAAGGCTCCTTGTGAGTATTATGTTTTTGTCTAGTTTGGGTAAATTACTGTGTGTTGAACTTTATAAGAAACTACCAAATTGATTTTCCAAAGTAGCTATGCCAGGAGTTGCTGAGAGATATTTAGTTGCTCCATATTCTCACCACATTTGATGTTTTTAGTCTCATAGTGGTGTAACTTTTACTCTCCTGGTGACTGATTTTTTTTTTTTTTTTTATAAATGCTTGATACTATTTGCTCAATTTTAAATTTTGGGTGCTTTCGATTTCTCACTGAAAAATCTATGTGCATGTATCTATTTCCTAGTCTGTAGCTTGCTTTTTAACTGTCTGAGTTAGAGCAGTTTTAGTTTGTTTTGTCTGCACTCACTGGCAAGGTACCGTGGCCTAGCCCTAGTGGTCACATCGATTCTGGCTCTCATTGATAGGTCCTGCAGCCTAGCCCAGCCTGGTCCACCCTCAGACCAGGCTGTTACGTGAACTGGTAGGAGCCATGGCCTAGCCTGGCTTGTCCCTCATCTGCTTTGACTTTTGTGAGGACCAGTGGGTGCTGCAGCCATGCTCAGCCCTGGCTCTCACACTGCTCAGGGTGCAGCTGCAGCCTAGCAGGGAGTCCCCAGAGTTCCCCCACCAGGCCTGTTCCCAGCCCTGGGTCTTGCACATGCTGATGGGTACTTAAGTCCTACTTCAGTCTAGCCAGGAATGGCCCACCTGCAGTCTCAGCTGTCACTGGCTGGTGTGCAGCCTAGCCCAGGTGGGTGTGGTCCATTCCCTGTCCTGGCTCTTTGCACACCAGCAGGTGCTGCAGTCCTGCTTGACCTGGGCTGTCTTCAGTCCTGGCCTTTGTATGTGTCAGTATGTGCTGAAGCTTGGCCCAGCCAACCTCCCTCCCATCCCTGGCTCATGTGTGTTCCACCGTTCAGGCTGAGTGAGCCCATCACCACCCCGAGTTCTCCATGCAAAACAGCAGGTGCTGCATTCCCACAGAGGTGAACCCACAATTGCTCTACAGAATCTGACCCCAGGGCCCGGCGCGGTGGCACAAGTGGTTAAAGGTCCTTGCCTTGCACGCCTGGGATCCCATATGGGCACCGGTTCTAATCCCGGCAGCCCCACTTCCCTTCCAGCTCCCTGCCTGTGGCCTGGGAAAGCAGTCGAGGACGGCCCAAAGCTTTGGGAACCTGCACCCGCGTGGGAGACCCAGAGGAGGCTCCTGGTTTCAGATCGGCATAGCATCGGCCCGTTGCGCTCACTTGGGGAGTGAATCATCGGATGGAGGATCTTCCTCTCTGTCTCTCCTCTCTGTGTATCTGCCTTTCCAATAAAAAAAATAATAATAGAAATAAATCTTTAAAAAAAAAAAAAGAAAATATGACATGAATTTACCCAAACTTATATTACTTAAAAAAAAAAAAAAGAATCTGATCCCACATCTGATTCTGTCTGTTTGGTGGGTGCTGCTGCCCCAGCATTCATGGATGGTACTGCAGCCTAGCCCAGCCAGGCATAAGCCCGCCCCCAGTCCCGTGTCCCCCCCCCCCCCCAGCTGTTATGTGACTCATTGGAGGGCAGACGGTGCTGTTTAGCCCAGCCCAGGTGTTCCATGTGGATGGGTGCCTTGGCCTGTCCCAGACATGTCCTCCGGTACCCCTCTATAACCCACTCTGTCTTCGCTTCCTTGCTTTTCTGTGAGAGCAGTGGTCCAGTTTCTGGAAGACCCCAGAAGTCATTCTTCCCTTGTCAAACAAGACCTCAGCTACTCCCACTCCACTCCCCAGACCCCCTTTCTTGGGCCATCTGTAACCACCTACCCAACCTGGGGGCTGGATGGCATGTCCTAGCCTGGAGTTGCCCACCTTCCCCATGTATCTTTAAAATAAAGCAGCTGTGCTAGCACCCTGGTGCGGTGTGCACAAATGTGGTGTTAACCACGCTGTTGGCTGCTTTGCTCCTAGCAGTGTGAAACTTGCTGAGGTGCCTACAGCTGGGATGGGGGGAGTTTTAGTTTTATTAAGTACCTTTCTTCAATTTTATTTCAGTTTTTGCTTTTTTTGTCTTGGCTGAAATTTTGCCTAACTTAAGTTTTCTACCTTTTTTTTTTAGCTTCGTTTTGGGGAAAATTTTATACTTGCGTGTTTATAAAAGTGATTCATCTTAAGGATGAAGTGTACTGAAAATCTATTTTTTTCATGTAGATAGCTAGTTTTAGCATATTAATAGAAAATATGATTTCTGATATTGCCTTTGCATATTTGTCAACTATCTGGGGGAAAAAAATCAGTCACCCTACATTGTGTTACATTGATGATTATATTTCCAATTACAGTTAAAATTATGTAACTCGAAAACTTTGAAATGAGATACTATGCTTCCAGTTTGGTTTACATATGTGTTTGAAAGGGAGAGGCGCCTTTTAGCTGCTGGTTCAGGGCTCAGATGGCCACAGTGGCCAGAGCTAGGCCGTGCGGGGCTGGTCGTTAGGGCTCGAACCACATGGGTTCAAGGACCCAAACACTTGAGTAGAAGTGGGACTGCTGGCACTTGAATTGGTGTCATTGTGGGATGTCAGACAGGGGCTTAACATGCTGTTCCACAATGCTGGCCTCTTTTTTATTGTTTTTTTTGCTGTTAAAGATTCTTCATATTTTTTGTTTGGTGCTGTTAGTTTTGGGAGGGATCATTCAGATACTTTCATGTTTGGATAATTGAATTTTTTACGGTGCTTCCAGAAGTTAGTTTTGGTTGTGTTTAAAGTGTTTTCACTTTGTTTTTGTTTAATCACTCACACTACAGCTACTGTTTTACAGCACAGCCAGCTTGTTCCTTGTCAGACTTGACCTTCCCTTTGTGAAGAGATTGCTCTGCCCAAGTTGTCACAGGCCTTACTTCTCAGTCATGTTACCTTCTCTCCTTCTTGCTGATCTAGTCCCATTGTTTTCTCCAGGGAACTTTTGTTTTTATTTGAAAGGCAGATTCACAGAGAAGAGACAGATCTTCCATGAGCTGATTCACACCGCAGATGACCGCAGTGGCTAGAAGTGGGCCAGTCTAAAGCCAGGAGCCTGGAGCTTCTGGGTCTCCCATGGTGGATGCAGGGGCCTGGGGACTTGGACCCTCTTCTGCAGCTTTCCCTGGCACATTTCCAGGAAGGGAAGTGGAGTTGTTGGGAGTAGAACTCGTGTCCCTATGGGATGATGGCTCTGCAGGTGGAGGCTTAACCCTGGTGTCAGCCCCATGAGATGTCTTTTATAAGGGCATTTACTTACCCTGTTGAGGAGGTCTCTAGCTGGTGACCTGAGTACCTCCCAAAGGTCCCAGTACCATCATGTTTAGGTTTAATTATATTAAGTTTACTATGATTAGTTTTTATTTTGAAAGAACATAGATAATGTAACTTATTTTGAACGTTTAGTGTGCCTCAATTCCTTGTTATATTTAACATTGTATTTTCAAATTATCTTTCGTTTTTATTAATTTGGTAGAAAAATGATTTATTGCTTTTCTATGTTATACTCTTTAAAAATTTCTTTAAAGAGTTCCTTTTTTTTTTTTTAAAGATTTATTTTATTATTTTTATTGGAAAGGTGGACATACAGAGAGGAGAGACAGAGAGGAAGATCTTCCGTCCAATGATTCACTCCCTAGTGAGCGCAACGGCCGATGCTATGCTGATCCAAAGCCAGGAGCCTCTTGCGGGTCTCCCACGCGGGTGCAGGGTCCCAAAGCTTTGGGCCGTCCTCCACTGCTTTCCCAGGCCACAGGCAGGGAACTGGAAGGGAAGCGGGGCTGCCGGGATTAGAATGGGCGCCCATATGGGATCCCGGGCTTGCAAGGCGAGGACATTAACCACTGCGCCACCACGCCGGGCCCAAGAGTTCCTTTTTGTTAAAGATTTGTTTTTATTGGAAAGTCAGATTTTCAGAAAGGAGGAGAGACAGAGAAGATCTTTTCATCTGCTGGTTCACTCCCCCAGTGGCCGCAATGGCCAGAGCTGAGCTGATCCTAGGCCAGGAGCCTGGAGCTTCCTCTGGGTCTCCCATGTTGGTATTGGGGTCCACGCACTTACACTGTCTTCTGCAGGGAGTTGAGTGGGAAGTGGAGCTGCCGGGACTCAAACCTCTGCTGACATTGCAGGCAAAGGCTTAATGTGCTAGGCCATGGTGACGGCCCCACGCTCGCTTCTGTGCTTCTAGTTCCGGAGGGTGATTTGCGCCTTTGATCTTTAAGAATGGCAACTAAATACTGTCTACAAAAGATTTATTTTTATTTGAAAGGCAGATTTTACAGGAGAAGGAGAGACAGGTCTTCCATCTGCTGGTTCATTCCATAGGTAGTTTTAGTGGCTTAGACTGAGCCCTCCTGTGCTGCTCTCCCAAGCCATTAGCAGGAATTTGGAATGAAAATGGAACAGCCAGGACATGAACTCATGCCCATGTGGGATGTCAGTGCCACAGGCATAGGATCAGCTTGCATCGCACTGATGCCTATATGCTTAAATTTTCAAAATCAGCAGTTAAATACAGAAGCAAATATTTGGCTTTTTAGCTTAGTCTCTTGTTAGGGTCCCCATATCACATTTCTGCCCCTGGCTCTTGTGATTCCGGTCTCCTACCAAAACAGAATTGGGAGGAGAGTGGGGATGGCTCCAATGCTTCTTGTCATCCTTGTGGTCCAGCCACCCGTGGGAGTCCTTTAGGGGAATAAACCAGCACATGGGAACTGTGTCTCTCTGCCTTTGGAAATAAACCAGACTATAAGTTTTTTGAAAAAGAAATGGTTGGCTTAGCGGTATAACATTGCTGCTTGGGCCGCCCACATTACATGCCACAGTGCATGGTTCTACTGCTTGCTTTCTGGCCAGCTTCCTGCTAATGCTTTCCCTTGGGGGCGGCAGGTCACGGCTCACCATGTGGGAGACCTGGGTGAAATTTAGAGCTGGTTTGGGGCTGGTCTGATGTTGGCTGTGTTGGCCATTTGGGGAGTAAAACAGCAGATGAAAGGTTTTTAAAGATATTTAAAAGTCAGTTTTTCAGATAAGATGAAGGAGATAAAGAAGGTGCAGTTAAAGTGCTAGCTAGCATCCCTTACTGTAGTACCTTGGTTCTGAGGTGGATTCTGGCTCCTGAATTCTGCTTGTTTCTAATGCAGACTACAGGAGGCAGTGACGGCTCAAGTCATTGGTTCCTGTTACTCACATGGGAGACTGAATTGTTTCCAGCTCACAGCTCCCATCTGTTGGCAGGGCCTCACTGCTTGGGCCATGGTTTTGTGCCTCCTAGGGTCATTAGCAGGAAGCTGGTGTTGGAAGCAGAGCCATGATTCGAACTCCGGTACTCGCAGGTGGCGTGTGGATATCCCAAGTGGGGTGGTGACCACTGATTAACTTAAAGCCGTAACCTTTCCAAAGGCAATTGTGAAAATTCTGGCGGACAGAAGGAGATTGGTGGTTGTGGCTGGTGTAAAGCATGGAGAAGGGGGCTGCATACATAAAACTTGGCTTAAGTACCCATTTTTTTTTTTTTAAAGATTTATTTTTATTATTTTTTTTTATTGGAAAGGCGGATGTACAGAGAGGAGAGACAGAGAGGAAGATCTTCCGTCCGATGATTCAACTCCCCAAGTGAGCGCAACGGGCCGATACTATGCCAATCCAAAGCCAGGAGCCTCCTCCGGGTCTCCCACGCGGGTGCAGGTTCCCAAAGCTTTGGGCCATCCTCGACTGCTTTCCCAGGCCACTGGCAGGGAGCTGGAAGGGAAGCGAGGCTGCCGGGATTAGAACCGGCGCCCATATGGGATCCCGGGGGTGCAAGGCGAGGACCTTAACCACTTGCGCCACCGCGCCGGGCCCAGTACCCATTTTTTTTAAAGATTTATTTTATTTATTTATTTTTTTGGAAAGACAGATACACAGAGGGAAAAAAAAAACACAGAATGATCTTCTATTCACTGGTTTACTCCCCAAGTAACTGCAATGGCAAGAGCTGAGCTGATCTGGAGCCAGGAGCCAGGAGCTTTTTCTGGGTCTCCCACCCAGATGCAGGGTCCCAAAGCTTTGAGCTGTCCTCTACTGCTTTCCCAGGTTACAAACAGAATGCTGGATGGAAAGAGGGGCTGCTGGGGTTAGAACTGGCATCCATATGGGTTCCCCGCAGATGGCACGGCAAGGACTTTAGTCACTAGGCTACTGCACTGGGTCATACTCCTTCTTTTTTGTCATACTTTGGTTTTTTTTTAATATTATTATTTTTATTTTTATTTTTTATACTTTTCGTCATACTTTGTGTTAACGTTAGTAGTCACACTGTTTCATAATTGTCAATTAATTTATCCCTTTGTTTTTCTGGCTTTACCTATATCTGCTTCAGTAAATGGTTACTGACTGATTTTTGAGTACATACAAAATACTTTTGAAATAGCTTGTTAAAATACTTTATTAAAGGGGCCCAGCGCGGTGATCTAGCAGCTCAAGTCCTCACCTTGAATGCACCAGGATCCCATATGGGCGCTGGTTCTAATCCCAGCAGCTCCACTTCCCATCCAGTTCCCTGCTGTGGCCCGGGAAAGCAGTCGAGGACGGCCCAAAGCTTTGGGACCCTGCACCCGCGTGGGAGACCTGGAAGAGGCTCCTGGCTTCAGATCTGCGCAGCACTGGCCGTTGCGCTCACTTGGGGAGTTGAATCATTGGACGGAAGGTCCTCCTCTCTGTCTCTCCTCCTCGCTGTATATCTGACTTTGCAGTAAAAATAAATAAATCTTTAAAAAAAATACTTTATTAGGGCCTGGCGGATAGCTTAGTGGCTAAAGTCCTTGCCTCACATGTGTTGGGACCCCATATGGGTACCAGTTCTAGTCCTGGCAGCTCTACTTGCCATCCATCTTCCTGCTTGTGGCCTGGGTAAGCAGTCGAGGTGGCCCAAAGCTTTGTGTCCTGAACTTGTGTGGGAGATCTAGAAGGGGCTCCTGGCTCCAGATCAGTTCAACTCTAGATGTTGCAGTTGCTTAGAGAGTGAATCAGTGGGCAGATCTTCCTGCCTGTCTCTCCTCCTCTGTCAAATAAAAATAAATTTTTTAAAAAATTAAAAAAATAAAATACTTTATCATAAAGTGGGGTGTTGATTCTAGGAATTGTGTTAATTCTTGCTCTTTTGTGTCCAGGACTCCTCGCCCTGTGATTGTAGAGCCTATGGAGCAGTTTGATGATGAAGATGGCTTGCCAGAAAAGCTAATGCAGAAAACGCAACAATATCATAAGTAAGATTTTACTGATAAAGATGCTTTAGATGTTTGCTGTGACTTATTTCATTATTTCGCTTGTGTTATCAAGTATTGTTGGATTATCAGGTGTCGCTGTCCCGCAGCGACGGACTTGGTGCACGGAGCCGATAATAACACGCGTGGACCCTGACTGATGGTCAAAGCCAAAGTTTATTAGGGGCATCAGACTTTATACACTGAGAGTCCGTATGGGGTAGGGGAGGAAGTATCGAGCTCCCAACAGATATACAAAAGGTAGGCATTTGGTTGTTTTCATGCAAATACTGCCCAATGAACTGCAATCCTGTGCTGCTGGCCTTCCAGGGACACAATGTCCTCCTACAAATCCCCCTTCTGTGTTTTATAAAATTATGCCTGAAAGCTGTAGTTGGGGGAACATGTCCTTGGAAGGGCAGAAGCATGGGGAGAAATGTTACATATCATAAAAAGATGACTCCACCAGGGACCACACACCCTAACTGCCTATCATCCCATCTAGCTCCTCAATATCCTTTTTCCCAGGAGAATGAACCCTGGCTGCTGTCAGGAATATGGGCGACAACCGCTCTGACTTCTTTATGCTGAGAGGGGACAGAGAGGGAGCCACAGCAGCCAGGCATTCTCCAGGGAGTGCATCTGGGGTCCCTGGTAAGAGGTAGAAAAATAACAGCTATAGTTTTCTCCCAAGCTAACATAGTTGCACAGGAACAGTAAACAGTTAACATCCATCATATGTAACAGCTGAGTATAAACTTAACATCATAGTTTCTATACAGTTAGTATTAACAGTTGATGAAAGTTTTGGGGAGAATCTCAATTTACAATTTAAACCTTGCCATTTATATAATTCAAAAGTGTGATTTTACAGATTTCTATGCATTTAGGATAATCGAAACAGTTTTGTGATTCTACCAAATCATAGAAAAGCGTTAGGCAGGTGAGCAGGGAAATCTCCAACAACCTAGTGAATGAGGAAGAATTTAACTGCAAATCCCATTAGTCTCTATCTAAAATAATTTTGGGGCTCACAAGCCTGAAGGCCGTGGCAGCAGTGATCGGGGTAACCAAGGCGTTAGTTTAATTTCTCTTGAATTGTGGCTTGAGACTTACTCTGAATTACTGTTCACTTTTGTTATAGTTTACCATGACAGTTTTTTTCCCTATTACAAATTTGAAATAAAATGCCCTTTAGGAATTAGAGCACTAGAATTAAAACAGCGTTACAAGAAGTGGACTTTAAAGACAGTGTTGATGTATGTGATTTGGTTATCCTGACAAACTTGGTAAGGTGATAGTCCGAATTTTTATTATAGTTCGGCTAACGGGAAATGCTCTTGAAACATTTGAGGCAAGTTGAAATTCAATTTTGTTCCTCAAACTCTACATTGTTTCAGTGGATTCTTTGGGTGAAAATGAAGAATTTTTTTTTTCGTGTAATATTTTATTTATTTGAATGAGTTTCAGAGAAAGAGGGAGAGAAAAGTCCTCCGTTGGCTGGTTCATTCTCTAAGTGGTTGCAGCAGCCAGGGCTTGGCCAGGCTGAAGTCATGAGTGTTTTCTGGGTCTGTTTTGTGGGTTCAGGGCCCGAGTACGTGGGTCACACTCTCCTGCTCTCCCAGGGTGCACTGGAGGGAGATGGCCTCTTAGTGAAGCAGCTGAGACATGAACCGTCACCCACATGGATGCTGTCATCCCGGGCTTGGCTTTACCCAGTTAGAGCAGGCTAGTTGTGTGTGTGTGTGTGTGTGTGTGTCTTAATTATTTTTATCATTTAAAAAAGAGATTTAATTAATTAATTGTATTGGGAAGTCAGATTTTACAAAGAAAAGGACAGACAGATGGATCTTCCATCCACTGATTCATTCCTCAGATGGCCCCAGCAGCTGGAGCTGAGCTGATCTGAAGCCAGGAGCTTCTTCTTGGGATCCTGGCCCGTGCAAGGCAAGGACTTTATCCACTAGGTTACTGCACCGGGTCCAGTTCTATCACTTAATAGTTGAGCATGCTTGGATTGTCTCTCAAACCCAGACCTGCATTGCAGTATTGTCATGAGATAATTCATGGAGAGAAATTCTCAAGAAGTGCTACTAGTTGTTACTGTAATTTACTGTTGCTTTGCATTTGAAGCATGCATTTCTGTATTTTTTAATGTAAATGTAGGGAAAGAGAGCAGCCACCACGTTTTGCTCAACCTGGAACGTTTGAGTTTGAATATGCGTCTCGATGGAAGGCCCTGGATGAAATGGAGAAACAGCAGCGTGAACAGGTGGATAGAAACATCCGCGAAGCCAAAGAGAAGCTAGAGGCAGAGATGGAGGCAGCTCGGCATGAACACCAGCTGATGCTAATGAGGCAAGGTAAGAACGGGCTTAGGTGTGTATGTGGTGTGGATTTTTTTTCCTATGAGATTTATTTGTGTCTCACTTATGTGTTTCTTAATTTAATCTTTTTAGACATACAATTGGAGTTCAGCCTTTTGGTAGTCAAAATCTCTTTTACAAGAAAACTTCCTTAAAGCACAACTCAATAAATCATAAATTTTTCATATACAGCTAGTATTGTTAGGTGCTTGAAGGTGTGGTGTTAAATTTGGTAGTGAGAAATACACAGTTCTGCTAGCAGAAAGAAGCAAATGTGGGTATGGCAGTTCTTGGTGGATAGATGTGTCGTAGAATCAATCACATGCTAAGATTTTGGTGGGCAGAAGAGGACAGATGCTGTCCCTCTCGATACTTGATTTGAAAGGCAGAGTGCAGGTTCCTTCCCAAATGCCTGTTAGCAGCTAGCTAAGCCAAAGCGGAGCTCCCTCTGGATCTCCCACACAGGTGCAGGGTCCCAATGCTTTGGGCTGGAGTTATTTATTTGTAAGGTAGAGATGGAGAACAATACTGTTGATCTATCGATCTTCCTTCTGTTGGTTCACTTCCCTAATGGCTGTGGTGACCTGGTGGGGTGTCCAGGCTAAAGCCATGACCCAGGACCTGCCTCAGGTCTCATAGGTGGACTTAGTCCATTGCACTATGATACTTGTCCCTGATGTTTTCTTGGTTTTGGTTTGAGTTTTTTGATTGTTGTGTTGTTTTTTTACAACCTGAGATTATTTCGCAATAGGCATTTTGACTCACCAGTTGAGATGCGGTGGGGATTCTACGTCACCGTGTTGAAGCACCTAGGTTCCAGCTGTGGGCTTGATACGTTTTTCTAATGATGCACACCCAGGGAGGTGGCAGGTGACTCGCGTGGCTGCCTGCCTGCCTGTGCTTTGGTGGGGACCCGAGTTGAGCTGCTGTCACCCAGCCTCTTCCAGCCCTGCGTGTTGTGGCTCTTTCTAAACAGTACTTACTGGTGGAAATCTTTCGCAAATAAATAACAAAACGAGATTTTGTAAATAAAGTGTTTGGTTTAAAATGAAGTAAAATTTCTCTCCTGATTGCTCCTTCATAAGCTGTTGACGGTGCACCAGGAAGCTCATCGTGTGGGAGGGATATTCGGATTTTAGGCAGTTTACCATTAGTCCTTGTGTTTGGTTCTTCAGTTTCTTCTGATGTTGCCCAAGGTTTATTTCTGGAGTTTGCATTTATTGCCAAAAAAAAAAAACAAAAACATTGTTTAGAAATTTTATGAACAGAAAATGAGTTAATATAGCTTACTTAAATATGTGTTACCATTTTAATTATAGCAGTTGCTACCCATTTTAATGTTTTTCTATATATATGAAGAAAAAAACCCAGAAGGCATATTTTTAAATGATGTAGCATGTAAGCGTTGTAAAATGATTTTTACATAGAAAGAGAAATATGCAAGTGTGAGTATACAACTGAGTATATTGCCAAAAGCAGAGACTGTATTACTGTCAAAGGGAAGTTAAAATTACTAATGTGTGATTAATATTTTGTAGATCTGATGAGACGTCAAGAAGAACTTAGGCGCTTGGAAGAACTTCGAAACCAAGAGCTGCAAAAACGGAAACAGATACAGTTGAGGTAGAAGAGCTTACTATATTACGGGCATGAATGTACATAGTTTTCATTGGATATATTACTGATAAAATATGCCATTCTGCACCATTAAAAAGTTATGCAAGTTGGAAAACTCACAGATATACTCGAGAAAAAATGCTCAGGGTTATGCACAGTCAGAAACTCCCAAATCTGCCATCATCCTGTTAGGCTTTTTCAGCCAGTAAAGGGCCCTTGATTGTTTACTCTGTGAAGTTAAATAATGGACAAAGACTTTAAGCCATGTAACCCAAGCCTAGTTGTGTGCTGTAGTTTGTTTTTTGGTTTAGTGTAGTTATTTTAAGGTTGCTTGATTTACTAATGGTTTAGAGTAAAATAGAATAAGATAAAGTAAGAATGCCCTGGCCTCTTGTGTGTCACTGATTTGACACATGGAACGGATTTATTTAAATGTTATTTTTGCATGGCATTATGACTCACAGTGATGAATTTTTTGCTTCAAAATTTCTCAGGCATGAGGAGGAGCATCGTCGTCGCGAGGAGGAAATGATCCGCCACAGGGAACAGGAGGAGCTGAGACGGCAGCAAGAGGGATTTAAACCCAACTATATGGAAAATGTAAGTACAGCACTGAAGTGATCAGAACAGACGGTGGCTCTGAAATTCTGTAGATTTTACTTTCTAATTTTTCTGAATTTAGCTTTCTATAGGAACTGAATTAAAATTAGTTTCTAAGGATAACCATGACATTATCTTTTCATTATTTTAGTTTATCTTTATAAAACACGTATTGTTAAATTAGAAGTCTACAGACATCATCTCTGCCTGATTTTACCTTACAAGGATATAAAGTGTTTTCCTGTGGAAGATCTAAGACAGCGGGAGGAGTGTGTGGCTGGAACTGTTGTAAGCACACGGCTGATGGTTTTATTTTTCAAAGTATACTTAATTTCTTAAATTACTTTGCATGAAGTACTCCACATTACATGATTTCATTCCGGATTATGCAGCATATATCTGAAAGAGGAGAATGCATTCTTTTGTTTTGTTCAGGCCTTCTGAATTTGTAACACTGCATAGGTAGAGCTTAGATCTGCATAGATCTCTTACCCCCCCTCCCCCCCTTTAAATTTTTGTTATCTGACATGTCTAGTTTTTAAAGCCCATATATTTTTCTGTTCCTTTCTGTTTTTTTTTTTTTTCCTTTCTTTGATTACAGCCCATAGCAGCATCGTGTAGGCCATGTCATGTGTTGGATGTTACTGACTGCATCCTTGCACACAGGGTAGTGGTCATTTGTGAGGCACACTGAGAGAGAGCAGACTCGCCTCCATTGCCTCCTGCCTGGTGCCTGCGCTGGGGCCACCCACAGTCCAGGTCTTTTGGCAGAGGGCAGTAGTCCATTTCCTTCAGCTGAATGCGAGAGTTGAAGCTGGGAATCCAAACTTGACGCATGAAAGGATGTGACCATCTTAGTGCTGAGGCTGATTGCCCACTCCAACCTTGCCACAATGAAGAATTCTTTCCTTGAGCCCTCTTTTAGCTGCAAAAGGGCTTAATCTGACGTGTATTTTGCTTTCATTGGCAGGATAGTAGAGCAGACAAGACTGCCTCAGATGTGTTAAAAAGGTGCTAGTTCTTAGTGCTAATTACTAGGATTGCATTGTTCACTTTCCAGGAATGAAATCTTAAGCTCTGGAAAATACTTACTACAATCTCTGTCATGTTCAAAAGCCAGTATGCTTTAATAAGAATTTATTTAAGCTTCTTACTGCGTTTCTGAGGCTCAGTGTATAAATATTAATTCAAATCAGAGGAGTTTTTTTTTAAACCTTAAATGGGTTCTTTTTTGTTTTGTTTTGTTTTAAAGCCAGAGTGCCAGAGATCACTGGTGTGTTCCTCAAAATTGTCGCAACAATTAGATTGTGATAAGGCCAAATTGAAGAGCCAGGAGTGGCAGGGGCTGCTGTCCCACGCACGTTAGCAGGCTTTGCCACAGCATTGGCCCCTAGGTTTCTTTTTTAAAGAAAGTAATGTAATTGGGGAAAAAAAAAAAAGAAATGTAGTTGAAAGGCAGAATTAGAGGGAAGGATTGAAGAATCAATAGATCTTTCCACCCCTGGTTTAATCCCCATTATGGCTGCAGCAGCTGGGGCTGGTCCAGGGCAGAGCCACGGAATTCTGCCTTGGTTTCCCATGTCAGTGACAGGGGACCAAGTCCCCAGAGTCTTAGCAGGGAGCTGAATCTGGAGTGATCAGCTCATTGGTGCTTGCGAGAGACTGAAGCCGCGTTAATTAGTGGAGTGGTTTAGTAGTCTAAAATTGATTGGAAATCATTTTTAGCATAGTGTTATAGCCATTTTGGGGTTTCCTTGGTTTTGTAACAGTAACTTACTGAATAGTTGTCTTAGGTTTCGTGTAAATCTGTTGGATTTGTCAACAGTAGGATAGTGAAGGAGGCTACCAAGGAGGTGTAATCTAAAAACGGCCCACATTCACTTTGAAATGTCCATTCTCCCTGTGATGACATCGCAAGCCTTTTGTGTTATGTTCCTTACAGGATTAGGAAGTCCCCTTGTTCTTTTGTTTACTTGAGTGTGTTGCAGTATGTGTCCATAGTAAAATATGATGGAGTAACTTTTTTTTTGGCCTTGTTTTTTTCCTGGCATACGTTATACACTTCTGGAGTGGATTTTTACCAATTTATAAAAATTGCATATACCGAAATTACTATTTATAGGTCTGGACAAAATGATAACATATCAAGTCTTGTGTTAAGTTGGATGTTTAATAAATTTCAGCTATAGGCTCTTTGTACTTTGAGATGATTTACGATCTGAAGAACTTAATACCATGCCTTTTACTTTTCATGCATTTAATATAGGTAAAAATGATGCGTAGATATTTTAGTTTTATTTTTCTTTCTTTACATAGTTGGAAGCATTGTAATTTGAAATTGAATTGTTTCAAATTATTTAAAATATTTTACATTTAAAATTCAACTTAATAAAGCTGAAGTTTCACAAATAACGATTGAACTTTGAGAGTAGATCAATTATATGAAGAGAAATACTCATTCAGTATGTTGGCATTTCAAAACATATTCACAACATATATTCCTAGGAAGGTACTTTTTACGGTACTTAACTATTAAGCTACCTCATTTTCAAATAGTTATCAAAGTAAATATTTAATATAAACATAATAGAAAAATTTGACTAGAGCAGAAATTGGAAGGCATGTGCATGTTTTCATGCTCTCCCATCACAGGGATATGAATGGAGTTCTTGTTTTGAAAGGATTACTGAAAGAATTAATCGTGTCTGTGACTCAGAATCACTTAAAGTACTTGCTCTCTGGTCTTTTCCGTGTGAAGGTATTGAACTTGGATACTTCCGTGTTTTGTTCCGTGTTGTAGTAGCTGCGATAGGACACAAAGTAAAGCTCTTCATTTACTGGTAGAGCATCTCTTTTAAACAATGTTCAAGGAGCTATGATGATTTGTGTAACAGAACCAAACAAAAATTAAGTCTGTTTTACTGTAGTTTTTTTTTTACTGTAGTTTTTTTGTGATTAGAAGTTACATGAGTAGGCATACGGTTTCTATACTGATTTTTGTGTCTGTTTTGTTTCCTAGCTCTATAATGTTTCTTACTTAACATAAACTGACGAATACCTGAAAGAAATACTACTGCAGACTCTATGTTAACATGAAAACCAAATAAGAAAATACTGATTAGGAATATGCTTGAGGCAGTTGTATCTATTACTCTTCATTTTCTTGAAAGCTGTCTTAAAAAAATTAAATAATGTTAATCTTTGTTTATTTTTTTAATTTCCTGAAGCTTTGAAAGTAGATCTTCTTATGTGCTTTCTCTTTATTCACTTCTGTATAAAGGGAGGATTCCAGTGGTAAGTGTGCAGCTTGCCCACGTGACACGTCTTCTAGGATGCTACATCGTTTCTTTCTTATCTTCCTGTTAGAAATACTAGAAATATTTCAGTATAACTGAGTATAAAGCTTTGAAGTAAAATGAATGTCAGTGTTCGTATTTTTTATGTGTTAAGTAATTTTTCAATGTAACAGTATGAGGAATAGTACTCATGTTCGCTCATATTTTGTCAGCATTCGGGTTGATAACTTTATGATACACCTGGAGTATATTTTTCAGTCTCAGGGCATGTCTGAGCTTCATCAGTTTGAATTTGTCATTGCTTCATGCTGTAGTTTTCCTTTGATATCAAACTGATAATTACTATATATACCAGTTTTTACTTTTACAGAATAACATACTCTTGACTGCTGTGGAATACTGTGCCTTAATTCTATTGTGGTTTGTATTTGCCATCGTGTGGGGTGTGGATTTGACTCTGCTTTATAATTAGTATTATTATAATACTCTGCTTATCACTATTTTATAGTTTTTGAACATATTACGAGTGTTTGTTATGAAAACAATGAGAACTTTAGAAATGGTACTGTGACTATTTCCCTATTAGATTTCTTCACTTACTATAGATTATGTAAATTGCAGTGTATCAGTCTTAGTTTTTTCAGCCAGTTTGCATTGTAGTAAATGAAAGATTTTTAATTAGCATATTTTGTTAATGATGTTTTCTGCTAGTCAGTTTTGCTTCTTGGGAAAATACTGGCATCATACAGATAATTAAATATTTTTGTGGCTTCAGGAATTTGCAGTGCTTTAATGAAATTACACCAGTTGTTAAGGTTAGATGTTGCTTAGTTTCTAAGCCTCGTAAGTTTTCTATGTAAATATTTGTTGGCTTCTCAGAAAAGAAGGAATAGATGCTTAGATGTGCTCCAGATATGCTGCACCAAGCTAAGTCTGCGCATGTGTCTGACTGGACATTGAAGTGTTGTGCTTCCACATGATTTATTATTTTTTTTGAAAGAGTTGTTCATTCAGACAGCAGAGTTTTGGATGCAGAGCCTGATCTCCTGCGCTCTGGCTGCAGTCTAGGACTGGGCCGAGCCCGACCTGCAGCCCGAGCACGATCTGGCTCTCCCTTGTTGGGAGGGGCCACCTTCTGTTGCTTTTGAAGGCGCAGTAGCAAGCAGCTGAGTCAGAAATGGAGCTTCTAGGCTAAATGGAGCTAAAGTGATACAGGAACTGGGATTGCAGTAACGTGCTGCACAGTGCTGGCTCCTTGATGATTGTTAACAGTGCTTTGGATATTCCATTGCTTGTATATAATAAACTCTTTTAAAAAAATCAATTTCTTACATCCTGAGACAAAAACTTTATTCAGTTGTTTTTCATTTTTCAGGTATGTTCCGTTATTGTCACATAGGAATTATGAAGTATGCCAGAAACTCTCGGGAAATGGGCTAACGTGCTGTGTCTTTTCTAAGGGCAGCAATCATTCAAATAATACATAACAAACTGCACAATTTATGATGTTTAAAGATTTATTTGAAAGAATGTCAAGTAGCAAGAGAAGGATGTAGAGTTTGATCTTTAATACGCTGTTCACTTCCTAAATGACTGTAATTGCTATGGCTGGGCTAGGCCGAATGTGGACGCCCGAGCTCCATGCAGGCTTCCCACGTGGTTGTGCCATCATCTGCCTGCTTTGCACCATTAGCAGATCTGGAT